TCTCACCTACATCGTCCACAAGGGACGACTCGGGAACTCAACTCCTACCTCGGGCAGCTCACCTTTCCCCCTATGCCCAGGGGAAAGGTATCAAGCCGTTTGACAGCTGATGCAGGCTGTCAAACCGGCTTTTACGCGGAAACAGGCGGGAGCAGCAAACAGCTGCGTCCAGCGAAGGAGCCTGCCACCGGAAGTCGATATAGTTGAAACATAATCAGTAATGAAAGAAGCCATCGGTTGAATATAGATTCTACTATCAATTCACAAGTAAACATATTAAGCTGAGGTAATTTAAGGCCCAGAACAAGTATATCTTTCATGCTGAACAATTGTGCAGTATTTACAAGTATTTTATTATATTCTAGTTTGTCTTTCCATTCTAAAGCCAGTATACTCAAGAGAACATTTGAGTTTCCTAAAAAAAAAACAGTGAAGATTAAAGTTAAATTTGCTAAATAAAAGAAAATAAGAAAAATGTAATCATAAGTTGTTCCACACAAAAAAAACAAACCCACCAAATCAAAGAAATACTGCCAGAACTGGGAAAAGAGACATATTTCATGAAGTAGCCTACTTTCTCCTATTGTTTGGGGTTGATGGGAGATAAAATTCAATATTGCTGGAGAACACATTTAGGGACGTAAGCCATATCAGATTTCCTCAGCAAAATCTTATTTTGCTACAATGAATAGCTGCAGCACCATATATCTTTCATATGCCTATAGCTTCCATTGCTCATCTTTTTCCCCTTTGAAGGCAAAATCTCCTTACCAGCCAACACCACCACCATTGTGTAAGGCAACCCAGGTTGCTCCTCTAAATGCATCTCCTACAAAATTCTGAACAGCCATATCTGTTAGGGAAGAAAAAGAAAGACATGACAACAGCATTCAATGTAAAGGAGAAGAAAGATTTTTCTTTCAAGAATTGGGGCAAAAGTTTTGTTTCAGCACTTCATGAGCTGTATTTAAGTATTACTATTTCTCTTGCATTATTTTTAAAAACCCAAAGTCTAGAGGACTTCTCCTCTGAGAAAACAGAACACTGAGAAGCTCCTGGAGATACAAACCTAGAAAATAAATAAATCTTCCCTATCTACTGATACAAACAAAAATGAGTCCATGAGACCTTTTGCCTCCCCCAAATCTCTCTTGCATTTATTTGAATTAGTCATTTAGAATTAAAACATTCTATTTAGCCTGAGCTCAAATACAAATTTCCTCTCCCCTTTTACCCCCCTTTTTGCATCTCATCTTGCAAGTTGCAATTTCTCCCTGATCATGTTTAATATTACCTTTTCTGTCTACTTCTTGCACCTGACTTAAGGAGTCTGCTGTGAACTAACAGCAGGATTACTCTCCAAGGTGTTGCAGTTTTGGGGGAGTTTTCCATTATGGAAAATAAAATCTTTACATCAAAAGGTGAACCAGTTATAAGCACGAAATGTAGTTGTTCATCTTAAAGAAATTATTTTTACTAGAAATACTTGTAATCTATTCAGCTAACCTGCACAAAATGCAGAACCGTCATAGATATTTGAGGTCTCTCGGTAAGGACTGTCTGCCCCACTCACATCATGGTGGTCCCGACTAAGAACAACTGGTGCCTGAAAAAGAAGTACAGGTTTACAGGGGGAAAAATAGTGTGGAATCAGCTGGGCTCCTTGGCGTAATTCTGCTCATTTAGATGAAGAGATCAATTGTTTTATCACAGATAAAATTCCTGAATAGGGAAATCAGCAATCTAATATTTGCATTTTTAGTACCTGAAAAGCTGCAAAATCATGCACCTGAAAACTGATAGTTTTCCCACTGAATTTTCTGACACAATCTCAAAGTGTTTCAGGAGCTGTAAAATGTAGATTGAGAGGTTGAATTTGGTTTTGGGGCTCTGCACCTCATCTGTGTAATGAAAGAATCAGGAAGCACACAAGAGGTCCCTTCACTAAATTAGGAAATACTGTGAGGTTTTTCAATAAGAATTTATTAAGAAATCTGACAACATGGGATATGTTTACAACCTATGGTTAATATTACATTGTAGTCACACTCATTTCAAACAATTAGTCTTTGTTTCTTTGCTGGAAATTCATTGACTTTACATGGTTTGCATTTTTATAAGAAACATTCTTGTCCCATCATCTACTCTGTTTTTCTCAATATGACTTCTTCAATCTCCAAATCAATCTACCATGTCAAAGAAAATTAACAGGTTATGTTGAATAAAAATACAGAAGAACTGTACCTTAATTCTTCCTTCAGCAATGCCTTTGTTAATAGCCACTGCAATAGCTACACGGCCTTTTTGATCAGAATACAGAATTCTGGCTTGGGACCCAACAACCTAAAACATAGAAACAATATAATGATTATCTCCTTGGCTTATCTCCACAGTCCAGATGCGGATCAGAGACAATGACAGTCTGTTTAATGAAGAAAGCAGGACAGTAAACTTACAAATATCCATCTTCCATAATTAAGGACTTCTGCCTATGATTTTGTCTCCACTTACTTTTCATAATATCTAGCTTTAAATATACTTGCCATTTTCCACTCACTTAAAATCAAGATTCAAAATCTATTACTAGTTCTTACATTACTGTTAGATAAAATTGAGAATTTCTGATGGAACTGAAATCTAAAAAGGATGTTTTTCTTGCACATAATATACAAATACTTGCAAATTGCAGTTGCCTTTTTGCTAGAGGCATTGTATGGCTTTTCCCTGGAAAGATAAACATATTGGCTCAATATTAAAAATGACTAAAGGATTTTTTTTTTGTATAGTCATCATACAAGAACTTTATTGCAATGAAAACAAATTAGGATAAAGCTGTGTTTGGAATTAGTTTTTAAATCTATAATTTCTTCAGATTAAGTATTCTGAGTGCCTCCAGGGAATAAACAGACTCACAGATTCTGAGTCTGATTTTATCATTGTTAAAGCTGGCGAGGCAATGTTATTGTCCCAGGATCAGGGTATCTGAAGGACACTGCTAATTCTATGGCCTGAAACTCAGCAAGGAGACAGTAGCTGTCATTCTAGTAGGGCCTAATTTTGCTTGCCAATGATAGGCCATAGCATGAAAATCCAAAATTCACATACAGTATAGGGCATATCTATGTGGCACCCTTACACTATGTTCTCATTGATTTAACTTCAAACCAATTTTAAGACAATGCTGTCCAGACTGGAATGCTTGCAAGGTATTCAGTCTATAGTTCAAGCTACCATGATTAATTCCCCTGCAGCTGGAAAGAAATTCCTTTCTTTCATCTTCCCTCTATAACATCTGCTGCAGATGCTATGACAACAGATGTTCCTTACTAGGATAATAGTTACAATCCTTGCCTGATGTGCGAAATAATCCTGATTCAAAACCCAGCAGAAACATTTTTTTTACATTGCCATTTTCATTTCCTGAGCTACCGAATTCTTTTGTTTTAATGAAAAAATGCTTCAGAAAGATAAGTGGCTCAGAGAAAGAAAAATATTAATTGAAAAAATACTGCTGGTTTCAAACCAGGGACATTTTGTATGTAAGGCTTTAGAGTCACTATGGGGTCCCTGGTGCTCTCTGAGTGTGGTGTTTTTATTAGCAAAGTACAGTAGGTAACATTTTACCTAGTTTGGATAATGAAGCATTTGCAAGAAAACCACAAAACTCAGAGAGCACCAAGGACCTTCACAGTTCAACCCTGAGTTACAAATATTCTCTTCTATTATTACCATTTAGGCTATAGATCACTTTTTCTATTTTACAAAGTCTAGTTTCACATATAAGCATCCTTACCTTCTCCTTGGCATCTGGTTTTCGAACAAAAGCTTTTTTAAAAAATAGAAAAATAACCACGAGGGTCCTGCTAGCCATTTTAAATGTTGAGCCCAAGAAGTAGGTCAAGATGAGCTTAACAGAAAGAGTTTGGATTACAACATGTGGAAATTGCTTCAACAACAGACAGGCATGATGGGGTCTTTGACATTGATTGGACGCCCCACCGCGCCATGGAGTTGGGGTGATAAAAATGCTCCATGTTCTTTCAAGCAATGATTTTAAGGGATCTTTTAACTTGTCAGCTACCTTCTGTACCTTATGGGCAGAATGGTAAGATAAACATCATAAAAATAAATAGAATAAAAATATGAAATAATGGCACTGGATACCAATTAAGCATCATCGTAGTTGGGTTTACATACCAAATTATGTCTTCTGGCTTCCTGAATCCAGCGTATGTTATCACAGTACTGCTGTTTCACAGATGCATTGGCTAGGCAAGAGAAGATTATACAAAATGATTCATAAAAGCAGTATCAGACCACTGCCAGTTTACAAACAGACTCTGAAGTATCCACAAAACAGCACTGCCTTTAGGACAGACATGTCAAACACAAGGCCCGGGGGCTGGATGCGGCCTGCGAAGTGGTTTCATGTGGCCTGCGAAGCCATCCTGGGAACAGTGAGGGAACGGCCCCCACTGCCTTGGCCCTGGCCCAGGCCAGCCGGGAGCCAATGTACAATTTTGTGGTGGCCATATTGGCACTTGCCCCAGTGGACCATGCTTTGGCACTTGCCCCGGTCCCACCCCCTTCTGCCAGAGACCCTCAGATCTGTCCCACTCCTGCCCAAGCCCCCCATAGGCATCCTTGACGCGAATGATGTAGAACTGGCCACGCCCACCCAGTAGGCCACACCCACTCCATCCACGCCCACCCATTAGGCTGCACCCATTCTGGCCACACCCACCCCCACCCCCAGAGCAACCGCAATGCTGATGCGGCCTTCAGTGAAATTGAGTTTGACAACCCTGGTTTAGGAGGAATCCAGTGATATTACACAGATTATCACAGGAGAAAGGAATAAAATATTTAGTTGTCTTTAGATTTATAGGTAACCTGCTTTGTCCGGAGGCAAGAAAAGGATAGCACAGTTGTAATCAGGTTTAATATATTATTCAAGAGAAATATAAAAAGCATCTGTTAATAAATGCTTGATAATGAGATATTTCAGGCCTGCTGCAGCAATGTCTTTCTATCATAAGATACTCTGAATCAGACTACAAAAATTAATATGTCAACCCTTTTAAGAGAAATAATCAATATATTTGATTCTTGCAGCAATTACACTGCATGACAAATTCTGCAAGAAAAACGTACTATATGCAAGTATTTACCAGATATAAATAACACCGATATCCATTGAGGGTTTGGTGAAATATAACTTAAATTATATAATAGGACAGCCTTCCAAAATCAGAGCCGATCCAAAGATATGAGATTATATACATGTAGTCCTTGACTTACAACCATTTGTTCAGCAACTGTTCAAAGTTACAGCAGCACTGAAAACAGTGACTTATAACAAGTCCTCACACTTATGACTATTGCAGCATCTCCATGATCATGTGATCAAAATTTGGGCATTTGGCACCTCGCATGGATTTACAATGTTCGCAGGTAATGTGATCACCATTTGTTGGCTTCCAACAAGCAAAGTCAATGGGGGAAGTATGATTCACTTAACAACTGCAATGATTTGCTTAACAACTGTGGTACAGAAGGTTGTAAAATCAGGGGTGACTCATTTAACAACTGCCTTCTTTAGCAACAGAAATTCTGGTCACAATTGTGGTTGTTAGTTGAGGACTATCTACAGTTCCCAACCAGCATGCTGGAAATTTTGGAACTTGCAATCCAATATAACCAAGGTTGGGGAAAGCTGAAATAACAGCCTTTAATTATTTTTTAAAGGTCATCCTGGAAAGCAAATGGAGCAAATCTGATATTCAAAAGAGTTAAGGACCTCAGTCTGCCTTCTCAATTGCTCTATAATTTTTCTTCTTTTCTTTAAAGATGCCTCTCACTGCAATGACGAAATATGTGTCTCCTTAAAATAGTCACAATCAGATTCTTACAACGATGGCATGATGGTTGTCCCACACAATCCAAAAAGATTACACTGTGTAAACACTAATTGGAACTGTCCGATAAATGTTGATACTATTGCAATTTGTAGACATATTTTCATAGACATATTGCAATTTATGTTTTTCAGCATTAGCATTTGACACGCTAATTAAAGCAATTCCCATATAATATTGGTGTACATAGTATGTACATTCCATTAAATGAAAAAATGAGAGGGGACAATTTGTATTCCATTTGGATTGAATAAATCATAATTAATTTTATCTTTGAATCTAATGTCTTTGAGGGGATTTTTTCTTTAAGTGTTCTCCATTCAGAATTTTCTCTATGAATAAAAAGGAAAAAAGAAACATCTGAAGAAATGGGGGAAGAGAAACGGTTCAATTATTCACCAAGGGCTGTGGCAACAGGGAATATGTTTTCATGCACAAAAACTCCAGTTCAATATATTTATAATCTAGGTTGACCTGAATACAGGTAGTCTTTGGTTGCTTAGTGACCATTTGAAGCAGTGGTGGGATTCAAATACATGAACAATCTGTGTGGATGCCGCTTCTGGAAGTCCATTCTGGTCCTGGGCAACAAAAAATTAGCTACCGGTTCTGCCGAACTGGTGCGAACTGGCTGAATCCCACCACTGATTTGAAGTTATTACCAGACATCTCAAAAGCTACTTACCACCCAGTTCTGAAGTTCCAACATCACCCCCTGCCCTGCAGATCTGTGGCTGCATTTCGAACCCTCGGCAACCATACTGCATTTACAGCTCTTTGCAGCGTCCTGTGGTCCCTTGATCACAATTTATGTTTTTGCCAAAAACTGGTATTTACTTCCAGTTTCCAGAAAAAAATGCCTCATAGTTCACTTAACAATCATAACATTCACTTAACAACTGTCCCAAAAAAGATTGCAAAATTGGTTCCTGTCACATGCTAACTTGCTTTGCAACCATCATGACTTATGTACATAATGGCCAGGCTCCATTAAGGTCATAAGTCAAGGAATACCTGTAAGAGGAAAAAAGAAAAAAAGAAGAAAGACATGGAGGAGGGGGCACACTTATTTATGTTCTGTATTTCCAAATTGCCAAATAAATATCATTCTTTGAGCAGTGTAGAAATCAGTACAACTTTTTTTAAAAAAGCATAAATAAAAAATAGCAATAATAAAGATAAAATCAGCGGCAACAATAATTGCAATAGATATAGCATATAAAACGACAAAAATATTTCTTTCAAAAAAGCTTGTGAAATTCTTTAAAAAAGCTAAAAGAACAATACCACTAATGAGTATGAATTAAGGGTCCTCGACATGGAAAGTACTGAATTAAGAATAAAAAGGATTTGCAATACATTATGAAAGAAACCTTTGTGAAAAGATAGGGAAACAATGTTAAAATCAGAAAAGCAATTAATATCTCTTATTTTTCAAAAGATTTTTGGATATTTGACAAATATTCAGACAATATCCAAAGAAAGCTTTGTAAAATAAAAATACGGCAAAGTTGCTGTTTCTTCATTACTGTTGGAAAGTGCGATGTTTTTAAAATGTTTCAAGAGCTTATCTTTTTTCATGAATCTAAGTATTGCTGTTCAATTTCTGCCCATCATAGATAGACTGACCGTCCTTCCACTATCTTGGACTTTGAACATATTTTCTAAAGTACTGAAGTTGTTGGAAAAGCTCTAATTTACATAACTTTCACACTCCTACAAAAAATACACACTTATGGCATGAACTTTAGCCCTGTTTCCTTTCCCCACTGTTCTGCAGCTTAGTGTCTTCTTATTGAATAGAATACAAATGGGCAAATTAACAAAAGAGATAAAAGAAAAGGAAGACACAGAGTACTATCTAATATGGAACAAGTGGTATGACTGGTTGGAGACTAGAAATAATAGAGGAGAATAAAGGTGGAAAGGTCAAAAGTGGAAAATGTGTGTATAATAAAAACAACAGGACAACAAGGACAAATATTCTAAAGAAGAATAAGGGGGAGAAATATAAATAATATAAGATTACCATTACGAAATTGCTGTTAAAAAAAAGGGAGGAGTATACACTGTGTGTGTATGTGTGTTTTGTTTTGTTGGTTTAAAAAATAAATTATTAAATAATAATAATAAAAAGAATAGAATATAACTGGAAGGGTCCTTGGAAGTCTTCTAGTCCAAATTCTGGAAATAATTGCGTACCAACCTTTGATGACTTTGGATTTGCTTAATAAAGAAATCACACCCATTTGTCTTTCACTTCTTTAAAAAGTTACTACCTCAGCTTACTTTGTCACCTCTCCTGTTTGATGACCTGTATTAAGGGCATAAAAGATACTGAGAACACACTGTGATCTTATCAACATTGTCTGTGTCAGAAAGGAAGTTGACTCCCACTCTCTCTCTCACTCTCTCAAAAAAAAAATCTATTTTATTTTCTACTTCATCTAAATATACCTAGAACAGGGAGTACATTCTTCCCTTAAAACTATTTAGCATCGTTGCACTCCCATTACAGCCCTGGTCTAGGGAAACTGTTTTAGCATATATTCTGGTTCTTACAGAACAACCATTTTTTCCATTAGTAGGGCAGCTTTGACATGCTGGTTAATTTTCAAGCAACTAATTTTGAATTTTAAAATATTATTTGAAATTAAAAGGGCCAATATGGCCTCTATCTTCCCAGCAACAATCCTGATGCCAGTACTTCAATGATCACTGAGAAACTAGTAAGAAATGTCATAGCAAAGGATTAGCAAATGTCTTTCTGTATATCCTGTTGTCAAGAGTGAAAGGGTTTCTGAATACAAGAAAGCCAATTCAGAAGATCTTGACTGAACTGATTGTGAGTTATCTAACTTTTTACTTGTTCTTCCTATTATATACTTCACATTTCTCCTTGATAAGACAGAAAACAGGGTTATGAATTGGTTCAAAATTGATTCTCTATAGTCAAGCACTCAAATGATTGTCACAGTATGCATTCTGTTCATATAGAAATGCAAACTTATATCCATACATGAATCCTGAGATATGTGCACAAACAACTGATGTGATTCAACAACATTAAAAATGATTACTTAAAATCATGAAATCATAGAGTTGGATGAGGCCATTTAGGCCATCAATTCCAAAACATACTCAGTGAATTAAATCAGTGCATATAGATGGCTGTTTAGCCTCCATTTGAAAACATCCAACAGAGGAGACTACATCACCTTTCTGGATAATCATAATCTGCTTTTCTATGAATTAAATCCATCATTTCATGTCTTGCACTAGAGAACAAGTCTTGACTTTCTTCCCTGTAACATTCTTTCAGGAATGTGAAGAGCATTATAATAAATCCACCAAGCAATCATTTCTAAAGGATAAACTTATCCAGCTCCTCCAATCTCTCTTCAGAGAGGCATGATCCTAATTCTTTTATCATTTTTGTTGCTGTGGCTGTTGCTATTCAGTTTCTCTGAATCCTTTTTTTAAAAGGTGACCAAAAACTGGATACAGTACTTAAAATAAAATCTGCTCAATTATTTCCCATGATCTGGAAATTATATTTATGTTGATGTGTTGTTTTCAAAGTGCTTACACACATATTTTTATTTCACAAAACTACAAAACTTTATGAACTGTTCTAGAATCTTCTTGGATATTGATGTCAGACTGAGTGCTCTGTAGTTTCCTGGGTCTATTTTTCCCCTTTTGAATATACAGACATTTGCTCAGCTGCCATGCTCTGGCATTTCACCAGTACTCTGACATTTCTCAAAGATAATTAATAAGAGTTTGACCAGAAAATTAGCTAGTGCAAAATCCTAGGATGAATATTCCCTGATTATGTTTCTATCTAGCCTTCCATGATCCCTCAACAACTTTCAAAATCATCAAACATGAAATCCATCTGGACTGGCTTGGGGGGCCTGGTCTTCATGTATTCTTTGGTCTACATGGACATATCTGGAAATTCTGAAAGTGCTTGTAGATGCTACACTAAAACAGTGCCCAGATGCTTGTTATAACATGAATGCTATGGGAGCAAGTCCAGCCACAATTTTTTTCCCCAGTTCAATTTCTATCCAAGTTGAGGAAACATACCAGAAGAAAACTGGACAATCACCTATTTGAGATGGTATAGATCCTCCTGCTTGAGCAGGGGGCTGGACTAGAAGACCTCCAAGGTCCCTTCCAGCTCTATTCTATTCTATTCTATTCTATTCTATTTTATTCTATTCTATTCAAACAATGGCAAATTGCTTGCCAAGAAATAGGTAGGGGTATGCCTATGCGGTCACCAGGCCTTTTGCTTGATTCAAAATATTTAAAGAATGGATGGATGAATGAATGAATATTTTATATATCCCTTTCCTGAAATATTAAAATATATGCAATGCTGAATAAAATATATCTGAAGAAATTTGAGACCACAATTATGGTCATATGCAAGGAAGTGTCATTGGTATATGCATGTTACAGTACATACAATGGAGATAATTTAGAGCAAATAAACACATGAAAAAATAGGCTTTTCATTCCTCAAAAAGTATAATAATTTGATAGTTACAGTCTAAAATTATAAAATATAATTAACTGCAAGTTATTTTTCTCATGCTCTATTATTTCCCCTCTATACCTAGAAGACAACAAGTCTTACCTCCCTGGTCAATAAGTTCCTCAAGCACTGTTGTGGATATAAAATCAGTGGTTGTCAAGTCTTCTGGGTCACCAGAGGTACAAACCCACCGAAATGGGCCAAATCCCATAGAAAAAATATCTCTGGGGAAAAAACACAGTTAAATATTGAAAAGATAGCTTAAATTCCTATTTTATTTATACTTATGGTTCGCAATGCTTTTCTTTCATTATGCGAGGGTAGAAGAATTTCAGCTATTTCGAACAGACTAATCCAAACACAAAGCTCTTTGAATCCCTATTTTAGAACTTTAAACAAAGCTTTACTTGCAGACATAAGCAATATATCTGTGGTCATTTGGCCACTTGAGTTTACCTATAATTGTTGTGCCAAAGTAACAGGAATTCAGTTGCAACGTACTTTTAGTATTAACTATTCCAATTGCCTGTATTATTCTACTTGTATTTAATTTTGTTTAGCTATTCACAGCTATATCTTGTATCTCTGGTCTTTGGGTGTAATAAAGATTCATTCAATCATGAGTTGAAAGGGCCTGCCAGTGCATCCTCCAGATTAGGCAAGGGTATCATAGGGAAGAGGGAAGAAAAAGAGTTAGCCTTGGGCGTCTAGCCATGCAGATGTTGGTAGCCAGATAAACCTATTGGTCATACTGTATCTCCTCAAGCCTGGGCCTTCTGAAGAAGAGTGAGGAGAAACATGTAGATTTATCCAGTGGTGGGATTCAATTATGTGAACAAACTGGTTCTCTGTGTGGATGCTGCTTCCGGAAATCCATTCTGGGCCTGGGCAACAAAAAATTAGCTACCGGTTCTGCCGAAGTGGTGTGAACTGGCTGAATCCCACCACTGGATTTATCACATATACATTTGGATTGTTACTACTAGAACTGTCACGCTACTTTTCTCTATTTCAGATTTCTCTCACAACTTCCCAAAATATTTGTGATTGCAGCACTCAGAATTTAGTTTATAGCCTTTTAACTCCTGCAAGGCAATTGAAAGTTACTTAAAGTGACTTAAGAAAAATAAAGTTCACATCTGGCAGCTCTTTCAGGTCTTCCCTTTTCCCATCCCAGTCTCCAGATACATTCCTTTCTAGATAGAAAAGGATTGATGATCTGTATTTTCCTCTTGTACATACCCCATAATGTGCTGAACATAAGAAGGGTACCGAAATTCTCCTTTGTTGCCTCCTCTTTTTGCAACATCAGCACCTTCCAAAGAATTTAAAGGCAAATGTTCAGTGAGAAGGAAATGCAACACCCAACAAAACAGCAGTTGAGTAAAATAAGACTGGATATTGCTGCACTAAGAACATGGCTAGCTGGGGAACAGGATTGTGCAAGAATTTATAACAATCCTGCAGAGAAGTACTTCTGCATCCAGTGAATTAATAGTTGTTCTGATCAGGAAATTATCATATACAACACACAAGAGTAATACAAAATGCCTGCTCCCATGCAGAAATTATGTGATGCACTCCATGCCAAAAAAAGGGAAGACATTCTCTCCTTACCAGCTCTCTGGGCTTCTAGAAGGAAAGCATTGCCATAATCCCAGAAAAACATTCCTTGATCAGATAGCTTGTTGATGGCAGCTACTTGTCTTCTAAGACTGAAAGAACAAAAGAAATGGAACATTACTTTTGGCACCGTCTTAGGTCATCAAAAAAAAAGAGAAGAAGATTCAGTTTGAACTATGGGACACTGTGCGAGAGAAAATAGTTTACTGAGTAAATGTGGAAGATGAGAAATCTGGATTCAGATTTCACTGCTGAAATAAATAATTTGTTTTGCAATTTTTCTTTTATTAAAAGGAAGAAACTCCTGATTTCAATAGTAATGTGGCAATAGGATAGGGGAGCATACAGCAGTCCTAATCCACATTCTTCAACCAAGTTCAGAGAGTACTAAGGACTCCAGATTCTTCATTAAATTAACCATTCCCCTTTAGATAACCGGTGCCCCATTAGATCACCATTTCACAGATATCTTCTTGCTTAACTAGAGAAACAGAATGACAATGGGTGGGCAAAAATTCAGGAGAGCTGGTTCAATCTCTAACTTTCTATTGGCTTCTCCATTAAGTTTTTTTTTTTTTTGTGAGACTCTTGCAGGGAGTGTCAGAAATCTTCCTTCCCTTCTCCCTCCCTCCCTCCCTCCCTTCATTCCTTCCCCCTCTCCCTCTTCCTTCTCCCTTCCTTTCCCTTCCCAGCAGGCAGCCAAATGGATGCTGCCAGGTGGGGGAGTGCATGAGGGAGTGCACAAGTGGCCAGCACAGTGTGAGGACAGAGGGACTGACCATTTCTCCATTGATGTCCTCACTGCAAATGTCCCATAAGTCAAGATTCCATTAATGAGAAGGTGGCAAGAGCTCTAGAGTTTATAACTAGATTTTGGCAGAACTGATTGTCTGACTCCTATTCAAAAATGAATCTTTTCTATCCAAAACCTAATATCCCAAACTGCTAAAAGAACCAGAAGAGAATGAAAATAAACACTTTAAGACTTTATCCAGATGATTAAAATAAATCATGAAAATGATTGCCATACCTTTCTTTTACAAGAGCCTGGAATTTTATGGGATCACTAGACATGAGTTGGTTGGCATCCTTAAAGCTTAGCTGAACTGGGTAATATCCACCATTATATGGATTGTGACAAGATGTTTGGTCAGATCCCAAATCAACTAATAGTTCTCCAGTAGTATTGAATTCATCCACCAGTCTTTCCCTACATACAGAAAGAGAAAAACAGGAAACTGAGAAAAAATAAGCAGAAAGGAAGAGAATCTTGAGAAAATTTAAACAAAATTATTATTCAATACGCATTTGGTAAAAATGCATTTTAAGAAATAAATGATTCAGTCAACCCATAAAACATGTGCATATCCCACTTATTTCAAACACGTGTTTCACTCAAAACTCTTACACATACTTTCTCAAGGGAAGCAAATTCAGCATCATTTTCTCACACACCCGTCAGTCTGCAATGATGATCACAGTCAGACATGAAATGCTGTCACTTAACATATTATCAACTTTGTTTTGAAAAATAAATCACTTTTCTTCTACAACGAAAAAGAAAAGGTGGCATTGAATCATTCACATTATAAATCAAGAAAATGAATTCAAAATTGCATCAAGGCTTCTAACAGAGTAGTTCTCATGTATAAACAACACTAACATACAGTAGGAAGGATACTACACAAATCTGGGACAAAAGAAATTGAAATATTCAATTAAAGAGTAAAGATCTATTTCATTTTATGGCTAGGGCAGCAGGGCAGATAAAGTAACAAATATTAAAAACATATCACTGTCAAGAGGATCCCTGATCAACTGCTTACTTACCAAAGATCTACCACATTCCCATGAAATCCCAAACTAAGAGCCATTTTGTTCTTCTTGGCTTCTCTGTGTAAATATTTTAAACAGAATGTTAGCATTATGGATGCAAAACAATTGTTTATGGGGACAGGGAAATGCCATCAAGTATGCTTTGACTCCTTACTGACTACCTATACTAGCACTGCAGTTTTTTTGGCAAGATTTCAGAAATGGTTTGTCATTGCCTGCTTCTAAGGGTGGAGTGAGAGAGATCGGCCCAAGGTCACAAAGCTGGTTTTGAGGCTAAAGCAGGACTAGTGGTTTCCTAATGTCCAGTCTGGTGCCTTCACAACTACTCCCAACTTGTCTCCACAAAACATTTGCCCAGAATAAAAATGTTACAGGGTTTAACCAAATGTGACAATTTGTAGAATATAAATGGTACTTATGTGAAAGGATATATTGTATTTATTTCAATATATATTCTTTTCCTTAAGAAACTTAATCTATATGTTATATTCTTAACTAAGATAATTTGTTAACAGCACCTAACTGACCTTGGTTGCTCTTAAAAATCTAGATTGGTTAGGTCCTGGTTAGGACTTGGATTGAGGACCTCTGGGCCAGTTTATAACTAACTGTAAAGTCTTGTATGGATGGGAGCTGATCAAAGGTCCGTGGAACCTGGAACCTACTTGTTTGTCCAACAGTCATCCACAAATGTTGCAAAATGTGTCAGTCTTAGAAAGTCAGTCTTTGGGGTGTAGGTTGTTTTTTAATAGCATTTTTCTCCAAATTCAAAAGACATTCCAAAGTTTTGGACTGGCATATCATATTAATTAGTGAGACAACAAAGGTGATTAGACGGTGAGAGGCTAAAACATATAATGAATGGTTGCAAGAATTGGGCATGTCTAGTCTAAAAAAGAGAAGGACTATGGGTGATATGATAACAGTCTTCCAATATTTGAGGGGCTGTCACAAAGAAGAGGGGGTCAACCTATTCTTCAAAGCACCTGAGGCAAGACAAGGAGTAACAGATGGAAATTTACCAAAGAGAGATCCAATCTAGGACTAAGAAGAAATTTCCTGATAGTGAGAACAATTTATCAGTGAAATGAATTGCTTTCAGAAGTTGTAAGTGCAACAATACTAGAGATTTTTAAGAAGAGATTGGACAACCATTTGTCTAGAATGATATGGAGTCTCCTGCTCAAGCAGAGTGTTGGACTGGAAGATCTCCAAGATTTCTTCCAATCTGTTATTCTGTTAGACACTAAAGAACATACTTCCTGAGCCATACCTAACTTGAGCAATGCAATCATCCAGACTTCTAGTGATTTTCATCAGCCATCCCTGATGATGACGTTTTAAAAGAGCAGCTTCGTCAACCTGAGAGATTGTATTACAGGAGAAAAAAAATCAGGCACAACTAATCTTTCTGTATTTTATATGCATGATGAGTAGCAAGTAAAAATTAAAGTTAAACACCAACACAGTATGACAACAAGTTTAGTTCTGAAAAAGCTATTCATGGTCTAAGAAACACAAGTTATGAGTGAGGTTTCCTGTTAGAACTAATTTAGAAAAAAGATTCTCTCCCAATCAATAGTGAAAAATTACACAAGTAAATTGAAAGCTTGTCTTGCTGTATTTAATAGCTCTAAACTTGTAACCCTGAGGCTTGATCTACATGAAACCATTTCATCTCCTTGGGGATTCTTGAATGAACAAGATGTGACCTCTTTGTCAACCTCTTTGCAGCAAAAATTAGGCTCTGCCCAACAACATTTGCATCTTCTCAATAGCAAATTCCCTCCTTACTCTGATTTAAATAGACAGAAGAATGTTCTCACGAAGCAAGATTGGAATGGCAGGACTGTGTGCAGCTTGTATAAGTCCATGGGGGAATTAAATTCATGAAATACTGTATAACATTCTATACACAAACATCTGGATGAAGACTTTGCTAAACTTTGTGGGCTTAATATGCAGTATGTAGGGTTTCTGAATCTGGGCTTCAAATTTTTGGAGAACTTCTATGGTATGGAAAATTCTCTTTGTTGTCATCTAGTGGGTGTCTGGAGATTTGCAGCCCAGATATGTTTGCCCTGCAATAGATGGCCGTCCAATCAGACCGTTTAAGCCTATTGAAATCACTGCAGCTAACCTTATCTGTCTATATCAGTTTCTAAGAAAACATTGAGAAAATTGAGAAATAAATTAGAGAAACATAAAGATTTGATTTTTACCTATAATCATTAATTTTACTTACCCATTCTCAAACAGTGAAACATCTCTGTTCTTACACATTAAGATTTTACCAATTATTAGCGAACTCTATATAAAATCTCTCTTATTACAATGTACTTATTCATTAGCAAGCCGTAATAAATTTACAAATGATACAGGATAGAGAAGGACAGATTACATGATATTACTGATATTACATATAAAAAAAATCCAGAAAAAAAACTGGCTTGACATCAGTTTAATAAACAGTAAGATTCCAACTTTTAATCTTATATGTTCTGTTTGCATATTACTGGTATTAAAAATAATTACTGGCATCCAAAACCCAATATACTGACTTTGAAAACAATAATAGTATTGTAAGCCAGTTATAAATAAAATGGAGCTGGCATCAGAAAAACAATTTAGGACTGCTGTCATTCTACACAGAAAAATTAGGGAGACTGTCTGAAGGAATGCATCTTTTTTTACAGAATGACAATAAGTCTGCTTCAGTGTGATTGATTCTTCCATCCATCATATTTTAAATACCAGAGAGACAAAAGTTCCACGCGGAAGAAGCATGCAAGGGTAGCTGCTGTTTTTACCCTTTTTTTTGTACACTAGCATTGTTTATTGGGCTCTTCCTAGATTGTTAGGCGAGGGATGAAATACCTGCAGTAGACATTAAGCATCCTGAATGTGGATATTGATGCATAAAAACTATGCAAGTTGCTTGGATGGATATAAAGGGATTATTTGATGTGGTATTTAAAAGAAGAGCAAACATAAATATATGAAAATAATATTTAAACATTTCATTATTGGCTAGCCACAAAATCCTTTTGTGGAAGATATGCATCAGGTATCTGAGAGTGCAAATGGGTATGGAACCTTCTTGGGTCTGCTGAAGGGATTGCGGTGACATCTGATGCCAGTTTTTAAACAGGGAAAGAATGAATGGATAGAACTGGAAACTGAAGAATGGGACAACCTGAATGAAAGCAGAAGAGTATAACTCAACACAGAGGCTTACCTCAGCAATAACTCCCACACATCCAGCAATGATTGCGGCTTTTGCTTGGGCACCACTCATTCCTCCAAGGCCAGATGTTACAAAGACTTTGCCAGACAGATTCTCCACCCCTAAGTATCGGCGGCCTGCATTGAGCACTGTTAACTATAGCGAGAAATATAGGGACTGTAGCACATTTATAGTCTCATATACATGTTGATGCGTGTGAAAGAAAGGAGCCAAAGATAGCAATCCAGTTTAAACAAAATACTAATCATGCGGAATCCCGTGTGGCTAGCATGCATGCACATGTAAAGGTGTTTATCATATGGATTTTTATACATATTTGTGCATGTACATTTAGTGTGCACAAATACCACAAACACAGCTTCAAGTTACCACTGAACTTCACTTTCTCTCTATTTGCATTCCAAACTGCTGTGAAGACATGCACTATCCAATTCAGAAGTGCCAGATATTTTTCTATGTGTGACACAAATAGATCAGGACAGTTTTCATGGGGGAATTGCTTCATGATTTTTTTAAGCACTGCTTGGGGAATAATCAGGACACAAATGTCTCAGCTAAAGAAAATGGATTTCAAAGCTCTTACTGGCAGGAAAGCTCCATACAGTAAGTGCCCCAAAAACTCCAGTGCCTACAGAAACTAATTTTCTAAATACATGCATCTCTTTATAGTAGTGTTTAACAAAGAAAGGCTACAACTTAGGATGCTTTGCCAGAAGTTCCAGTTTTTGACACTGGCATCTCCAGTTAAAATAATTCCCATTAGCAATTGATAGGAAAGACTATCTATCTAAAACTCTTTCAATCATAAACTTGAATAAATAAACTGAACTGGCAGAAAGCAATGTTTCAAAACAGTATTTTCCAAGTTTCTAGATAAGGTAATTATTATTTTTTCCTGAATTAGTACTGGAGTCACAGTTGACTTTTATCTGTAGTCCATTTGAGAGCCTGTTCTGACATATACATCCTAGAGTGTAATTTTGCCATATCTAGACATTAGTTATTTTCACTGCTAGAAACTGATGGCATTTTCTACATGCCAGAACAGTAACAGCAATAAGATCAACATTTATTTTATGATAATAATAGCTGGGTGATGCTATGGAAACTTAATAAAGTCACTAGTGTGAAAATGGTCATTGTTTATGAGAAAAAGATATATAATATTTGAACTAGAAACATGACAGATAATTGAAAATCTCTTTAATGGAAAGGAGAAAGCATTAAATAAATTATTCTTTGCAGGTTATCCTCAATATGCCTCAATAAAAAGCATTTATTGACTCTGAAATTATCCATTGAATCTGGAGGTTCTCATCAGAATAAGAAAATGTGCATTGTAACATTACAAAGCAAACTCCACTCCTTCTATATATGCACATCAAAGTACTGTATATGTTTTGTCATTTGTTTCTCTTCATCTGCGTGAGGACACCAATAGGTTTACAGTAATCTTAATGATTTAATTCAAGGAATTCCAGATATTTTACTGAATAGCTCTAATCAGCCTGAGCCAGCATGCTATGTCGATAGGAATCATAAGGGCATTACCCAAAAATATCTAAAAAACACCAGCTTGTGTTCCTTGATCTAGTTTATTTAGGGGTACAATAGTCTTTCTTTTATGGCACAGAGTTTGGGAATTACTGCTTTATGTTTATTACAATAAAAACTCTCAAGCACTATAAAATGGATCCCTAAGCCCTGTCTTCAACAAAGCAGTAAAACCAGTCTAAATAAATAAATAAACATGCATAATATATACATACATCTATATATTGTGTCTTTGAGTCAGTGTTGACTCCTGGTGACTGTCTAGGCAGAACCCTGCAGGTTTTTTGGCAAAACCTCAGAAATGGTTCATCATTGCCTCTTTATTAGGGCTGAGAGAGTATGATTGGCCTAAGCCTAAGGTTACCCAGCTGGTTTTGTCCTAAAGGTGGCCCTAGAATTTGGTTTCCTGATATCTAACCTGGCGCATTAATCACTACATCAAACTGGCTGTCTAGTGTAAATATATTGTGACAAACAACAACAATGAATTGGTGGTTTCATTTTCAAAAAGTATTCTTCTACATTGGCCCAGTTCTTACCACAGTTCCATGGACTATCCCTTGTGGTCCAATGTAGCAATAGCTTCCAGCTGTCATCTGTCCATACCTGTAAAAGAAAAATTCTATTTTCTCAGATAGATCTGAATGATATTACGAGAGCAAACAACAATGGTAACAATAAATATGCACCTACAATGATTCATCAGCCTAGTGATATAGATTGTCCAGTTAATCACCAATACTTTTTCACAAAACTGAAATGTAATATCAAATGATATCTGACAAATTAAGTCTTGTACCCACTAATCTTCAATATTTATATTAATGGCTTGAGTAAAGAGAGAGAAAAAATGTAAATAATTCTAAATTGGGTGGAACAATTAAAATGGCAAAAGAAAATGTAAACCTATCTTCACAAGTTAGAGAAGAAAGCTGAAAATAATGACATTTGAGTGATAGATCCAAAGTTATAGTATGGAGAATATTTGGCTTGAAGATGTTCAAAGATTGATCACAAACTGGGTATGAATCAGCACTGTAATACTTCTGTGGAAAAGGGAATGAAATTTTAGGCTGCATTATTAGAAGCATTAATTCATATGTTACTTGAATTGAAATCTGCACGAGTCAGAGCCATTCTGCAGTATTGTAATCAGTTTTAAAATGGATTCACAGAAACTGGAACATGGCAGTGAGAATTATCAATGGATTAGAACATTAAGTCTTATGAAGAGAGATGTAAAAAACTGGAAATGTTTGGAAGAGAAAAATGAAAGTGGGGAAAATCTAATAGGACTCTTCCAACACCTGAAAAATATGTCATCAAAGAAGAAAGTCAAATGTTATAACCTCCCCTTCCATAATACAAGAAACAGAGCAATGAATTTAAGTATAGGAAAGCAGATGCCAACTGAATGTTAAAAGATAAAGTTTAATGATGAGATAAATAAATAGTGAAACCAATCACTCAGAGAGACTATCAGCTCCCCTTCACTAGATCTATTCAAGTGCAGCCTAGACAGATTTTTACTGAAAATGCTCTAATTTGTATATCAGCATTCTGTCTTTCCAACGCTATGATTTTACAGAAGAGATTAAAAAAAGAAACTTGAGAATGGATACTTACATTGTAACTCCTTTTGCAAACATAGATTCATATTCCTCTCTAGAGGAATAATTAGGGATTACCTAAATTAAAAAAAGTAAACAAAATTAGTAGGAATGAAAAATTAAGGAAATAGTCTCTGAACCAGATTTTGTTTAAACATATTCCCTTAAATTCCATTCTTATAGCCTGTGTGGGTTCATATGCTCATTCTTATAAGACATATTGGATTAATTTGATTTAATAAAGTTCTTAAAACAGGAATAATTTTTTTCAGGTTTACAGAATAAGAGTTGGAAGGTACCTTGGAGGTCTACTAATCCAGCCCCCATTCAAGCAGGAAACCCTGAACCATTTCAGACAAATGGTTGTACAATCTCTTTTTAAAACCCTGCAGTGTTGGAGCACCCACAACTTCAAAGCATGGTCAATCTTAATACATTTTCACAATGACTAGAAGGATTGTTCAATGGAAACAAATAATCCTTACTAATTGCAAACTGAGATGGCTGGGTGATCTGGCTTTCCATGGAACCAGAATGCCAAATGTGAGCTGGAAAATTAAAGTAAAGTAAACAGAAGGAAATTAAATGGCTTTATGCTTTGTACTGAGGGGCAGAATCTTTTTTCAACCAGTGGTTATACTGACTGACATGCTGCGGGCCACCCTCCAAAAAGAGGGAAAGATCAGGACAAAGAAAGGGGGGACCAGAAAAAAAACTAAAGTAATTTTATTACACGTAGTAGATTGAATTCTGTCAATTAAATATAGTTAACAGACACATATCCTATGTATAGTCTTGTCGCTTATATAGTTTGGTAGCATTTTGTGCGAAATTCTGGTAAGAGCACATACAGCCTTAAAACTATATATGTTGTAGCCTTGTCACATGATATATTTGAGGGCAATGTAGCTGACTGACAGCTGAATAGGAACTCTCCGTTAGAAAATGATGGAATTCTCATTTGATAAATCCTGTGTATATCAGCATAGGAATGTTTTTTTGGTAACTGAATCCAGACTTGTTCTGGATATCCAATCCTTGAAAATCCTGATCCCTCAATATCCAGCTTGGATGGTGGAACTTCCATCCACCTTGAAAATAAGGAGACATAGTGGTGGCCTAGCAGTGGCCTAGCAGTTAAGAGGCTTGTTAACTGGAAGGTTTCAGTTCGGGGCCCAAGTATCATGTGATGGTGTGAGCTCCTGTACTTGTCCCAGCTCCTGTCAACCTAGCAGTTCAAAAGCATGCAAATGCCAATAGATAAATAGGTACCACTTTGGTGGGAAGGAAATAGCATTCCATGCACCTCAGCATTAAGTCATGCTGGCCACATGTCTACAGAAGCTTCTTCAGGCAGTACTGGCTCCCTCAGTTAGGAAACAGAAATGGGCACCATCCCCTAGAGTTGGACATATCCACACAGGGGAAACCTTTACCTTTTTACAAATTACTAATGAAAGGCCCAATCTCTCTAGAAGAGATGTGGCTTCATGCTTAGTATAAATAACTATTGTGGACCTACTGAAAGGTCAAAACTAGAAGTGTCACAATGATAAAGAAACAGTGAAGAGGAGATATTGTTGCCTTTATTTACCATGCCATTAGTGATAACTAATCGGGGTGCATTGCAATGGCTTGGGAAGAGTCCTAAGGGATGTCCACTGTACATAACTAATGTCTGTTCCTCAGTCATCTCAGATAAATAGTGCATCACCAGCCAGAACTAGAGAAAGGAAAGAAGTAGTAGATTAGCTTCTTGTCTTAAAAGGATCATTGTTCTACAGATTTTTAATAGCTAGACCAGACAGAATGGCGAGAGACCACTTGATGAGAATTCCTGAAAACGGGTGAGGCTGATTAAAAATGCATTATCAGGTGGGAATAGACGATGAGCTCCTAATCTAAAATTTTCACACAGAAACTGTTTCTCCCTTATTCATAGCGGGAATTAAAAAATAAACTTTTTCCTACTCTTGGGGAACTGATGAGTGGGGTGAAAACATGGACTGGTTAACAGCCTTTTTTATGATGGCACAGTAGAAATTATCATTAGAATTATATAGAAAAGTGCCGGTAGCTCTATTCATAGTACAATTCAATATTTGAAACTGCACAATCAATCAGAACTTTTCATTCAAGACATTAAAACTATTCAGGCAATATATAATCCCAATACAATTTCAGGTTTTTGGATTTCCTGTCCAATCCTATTTTTAGTGGCCCATTGATTTCAATGAACCCCAGACAAAAGAAAATCCAGGGAAAAATATAGTGACTTGGGATGCAAGAAGGAGAAGACAGGGCAGATGGGATGAGGAGCAGGCTAAGGATTCTTTTTCCCAGGTGCTGTGAACAATAATTTAGCTCCCCTCTCAGCTTTCTATATTGCATTTTTTTAGTTTTTCCTTTCATCAAAGGACTTTGGAATGAGCATTTCCTATTACAAAGGTTTGCACTAGTAGACGCTTGGATTTGTGCCAGGAGTTCTAAAGAAACTTGGTTGGTTGGTAGGTTTGATTGATTGGTTCTTTGTATACTTTTCCTGCAAAAGAACAAAGTCTCCTTGCTCTCTTCTCAAAGTCTCCTTGCCCTCTTCTCAATTTTCTTTTTGGAAAGGAGCTGTCATTAGAACTAATGGCAATTTTGATCCGGTCCCATCTCCTACTCTCGTATTTACCATTTTCCAAATCATCATAGGTATTTTGTGATAGCATAAGTTTTAGTCAACAAAGCCGTGATGGAAATATGACTGCCTCTGGAGGTTATCGGTTGGGTGACAACAGTGGTGGGATTCAAATATGTGAACAACCGGTTCTCTGTGTGGATGGTGCTTCTGGAAATCCGTTCTGGGCCTGGGCAACAAAAAATTAGCTACCGGTTCTGCCAAAGTGGTGCGAACCAGCTGAATCCCACCACTGGGTGACAAGTAGACTTCTTTGTGCACTTAGTTGGCCACTGTGTAAACAAACTACTGGACCAGATGTATCACAGGGATACAATCCAGCAGGGCACTACTTATATTCTTATGTTGTATTCATTAAAAGTGTCATCCAGCCATTCTTAATCAATTGTTTCCCAAATGTATTGGATTTCATTGTTGAGACATTCAGGCATTCAGCAGAAAAACCTACTGGACCATTTTGGGCCAATTGCTATCATTGAGATCTAGTCTACTTCAGTAGGTTGCTACAAGGATCAAGGGAGGAAGGGAAAGTTAATCTCAGTTCCTGGAGAAGATACCAAACAAATAAATAAATAAATAAATAAATAATGTGGATCAGGCATCTGTAAGAAAAAGGGTATTCCAGGGCAAACATGGCAAATTATAAATGAGTTTTTGTAACTCATTAAAAATGAAAAAAAAAAGGCAGCATTGATAACATGCAGCAGGAACAACATTTTGAGGTGCAGTTTTGCTACAGTCACACATCTTTTAAAACAGTCTCTTTTTCACAATACCAAGCAGGGGGGAAACAAGCTGGCTTTATCGCAACGAAATAAAATCATTCACCCAATAGCTATTCTTAAGTAACCAGAATGACAAAAGAAGTATTGTTTGTTCTGCTGTGAAACTCTTTTGAGGTATCACACTCCTATCAGAATAGGAGCAAAAGTACAGACAGAAGGCGTCCACAGATTGTGTTGTCTCGGTTGCACTGCGCAACTCAAGATGCATGCCCTAAAGTACACCAAGGCACGCTAGTTACAAAATCATGCTCATCATATATTTTTAGGAAGCATAGTTGCTATTTTGAGAACAAAAAACTCAGAAGGCTCCACTCTGCCTGGGAATCCGGGAATCCTAATTCTCAAAAAACAAGTCAGCAGAACTGACCAGTTCTGTGCATAGGGACTTGCTGCACGTCCATCTATCTCTTTATTGAGAAAAGGTGAAAGCAGTGCATGAAGTTAGCAGTGAACTAACTGGCTTGGTGTATGTCAGGGGTCTTCAAACTTGGCAACTTTAAGACTTGTGGACTTCAACTCCCAGAATTCCTCAGCCAGCCAGCCGTGGCTGGCTCAGGAATTCTGGGAGTTGAAGTCCACAAGTCTTAAAGTTGCCAAGTTTGAAGACCCCTGGTGTATGTAGTCACATAGGTCCTCCTGCACATTTCTCTTCAAGTTGGGATAGTCCTGGGTGCAATCTCCTTTGAGCTTTGCTTTATGGAAGCACAAAATTGTGGAGTCCTTGGTGATTTCTGAGTTTGGATGCTTTCTTGCCGATGTTTCATTATCCAGCTAGGTTACATCATCAATCAGATTCATCCTCACTTTTCTCCTCGTGCATAAAATAAGTAAAAGTTACAATAGATTTCAATTATGGTCAGCTGCTCATCAAACTTTGCTTAAACAGAATATTTTTTTCCCATTTGTGATTGAAAATATATCAACAATATCATACCTGTGCCCAGTTGCTGAACACTTGTCCATTTCCTCCATATGTTACAAGTTCCTGAGGAAACTGCAAAAGGTACATTTTAAATCCATACAAGATTTCAAAACAACTCCTATACAGTGATATTAAGATCTCTTATGTCTATCTCCAGAACAAGATCTTTATCTTGAGGACAGCATATAAATGATGCAAAAAAGATGAAAGGTATTTTATAATATATAGACATAAAAGTTGTAAAAAATGTAGTCAAAGAGAGCAAATAATGGTTAATATTAAATGAGATAGAGAAAATACAGAGCAATTTTGATGAAATAAATATTTATGCATTATATATTGATTTAGAGAAAGAACACAATACAGGCTTGGTTAGGGTTGCTGAATATGATAAGAAAAATATATGATGGAAGTAAAATGTGTGATTAACAGAATCCTTAAGAAATGTTTCGACTCTGAAAAAGGAGTAAGGCAAGGAAGTACAAGGCTCCCTTGCTTGTTTAATATATAATAAATATATAATAACGTGTCAGAAATGTATTGTATAAGAAACTTTTGTGACGATGGTAGACATATATTGACATGAGTCATGAACATATATAGTATGCACTTTGTATATGGATAATGCTGTGTTTAAATTTGAGAAGACAAATGGTTTGCAGGGAATGATAGACAGATGCAACAAGGAATATAAATCTGAAAATTATTGTACCAAAGACCAAGATAGGTACATGTGATAGACAAAATGGAGTGAATGTTTGTAAGCTATATATAAATGTCAAAAAAACAAGAGCAAGTTGATAAATTTGTATGCACTGGTAGAATGTTTACTAAATATGGGAAAATAGATGGAAACGGTAGTTTATAATATGAAGTTGTTGTGAGGAATGGAAACTGGTCAAAAGAAGTGAAAATGGAACTTGCTTATAAGAGTTTGCTTCTGCCCACTGCTTCTCTGGAAATGAGAGCTAGTTAAATTGGGAGACAATAAAAGTTGGGTGCAATGGGAATGACAAACTAAGAAATGTATGTCTAAAAAATTGTAGAGTCAAGAATGAATGGGTAATGAATCAATTTTGACTAAACACAAAAGTGAGTCACCAGTTCAAAAATTGTACAGTGAAGTCGATTATCATATACAGAAAATAAAGGATTATGTTATAAAGAAAATATATAGAGGAAAAATGAATGGGTTGAAAGGAAGAGAAAGACTATGAAAATCCTACTTAAAGTTGATAAGATTCTTAGAAAGAGACAAGTGAAAAAATTAAAGAATAAAAGATGAGGCATGGTGCAGAACATGTATTTATTTATTTAATTTATATGGCTGCCCATCTCTGATGAACTTCTTGGATGAGAAGTGCAACGTTTCTCATGAAACAATCAAGAAAATCCAGTTGCCCTTTGAAAAGCATTTTCGGGATAAAAACAGTTACAATAATACAAAACGTAGAATACAGAGAACAGGGAATAACCCTCTGGTTTACAATTTCTTTCTGCACTTTGATAATATTGCTTGACTGAAAGAGAATAGGATGATGGTTATATATGTATGAATAGTGAGAGCTGGATATTATGGTTTGAAAACAATGGTCTACAACTTATCGAATTTTTCGAATATAGCTAATTGTAGGTTTATTCAGCAAAGTACAGTATTGTTAAAACAACCATCACTTAATACATGATCCTAATCACTGTCCCCAAGTTACAGGGGAAACTGAAATTTACCTCATAAAAGGCAGTACATTCTCATGAACATGCAAGGAGATTTCTTTCCTAGACCATGTTTTCATCAAATATTCATTACCTGTGCTACTGCAGGATCAAGGTTATTCATAATCATGTGCATTATTGCAGCAGCTTGTTTGGTTTTGCAAGGATATTCCTGAATGGGATAAGCTCTGAAATAAAGGTAGAGATGAATTAATTATTCTCTGTTTTTACAACTGAATTCTCAGTTTGATGGATAAATTAAAGGAAAAACCAATATAGAAAACAATTAATAAAGATAAAGTCAATTAGGATGCAGGGCACTCTGTTATGAATAAAACCATCTGAACTCAATCTAGATTACTAATTGGTAAATTAGGTTTCCTCTCCCACCCCCCTCAAAAAAAAAGAGAGAGATTGGTGTACCAAGGGCTTATTTCTACATAGTGCCCTCTGGATATGTCAGATATTTCTCCTTTAAAGATTTGTAGGCAAGTGTTCTGTTCACATTCCTGGATGAATACAACCATGTTTTCCAATTAATTCTGAACTGCTGTACAGCCCTGACATGGAATACATACATATGTGTGTACAACACATACATAGATAAGAAATAATTATCAACATTGAATAGAAATAGACATAGTGCCATTTGCAAACAGTTTGGTTAGCAAATACATCCATCTGCAAAAGAAATATCACAGTGGGTTTTTTTTTCTTCAGTTTCTCTTGTTCTATGTTGATTTTGGAAGGATTCCATGCCGAATAAAGAAAATGTATTGTTTATTCTGACTTTGTTACCTGATCTTATTTATTTAGAATCTCAGTCCAGAAAATCTGTATCATCTCAGCTGCATGCTTATAGAGTGAGAGCTTTGTGCCCTTGGGCACTCATTGTTTTTAACTGCTATGCAAATTTGGATTGTGAGCAGAATTTGAACTGTTCATTTGAGAATCCAAATATAAAATCCAATTGGAACAAACAGATCTTGAGCAATTGTTAACAAAAATGCTTCAAAATGGAACACTACATTTGAGGAATGTAATTGCCTTTTATCAGATTTTCAAAACTACAGCTCAGAACAATTCCAAAAGCAAATTTTTTTCAGCCTACGCTCAATGTAGGATCTGTGTTGTGCATTACAGTCAACTCAAAACAAGTTCAAAATAATTTACACTTTTACACTGGCAGAATGCGTTTGCCAAAAAACATTAAATGAAGTAAACAAGATCAGTCAATGAGAACAAATGAATTTTGCATCCAATGATCAAAGATATTTGAGAGATCAATGCAACAGCGTTTGGCATTATCACTTTTTCCTCCTCTCTCCTTTTTGCAATCCTGGGGAGTGGGTGGGCTAAGAAAGAGAGATTGGCCCAAGCTTCCACCGCTAAGAGACAACTTGTACTTGGGTCTCTCAGCCCTAATTCCGCAACTTAATCAAAACATCCCACAATGCCAGCCTACAGTCTGAGGCCATGTCTAGACCCGTATCCTGAGTTTGTTCAGTATGTTTAGGACTATACATTATACATGGAATGCACTATGGATGATGACTACTAGATGGCGGACAAGAGGCATATAAAACTAATCTTTTGCTACTATGTGTTGGCTGTCTACATTTTTCAACCCAGATAATAGCTCTAAACATGCTTAAACTAAGCTTAAAATGGCATGGAGTGTTTTATAGTTTGGTATCAACGCATATATATCATCACATAGAACATATTACATATTTGCATCAGACATTATGAAATAATTATATTATTTATGTGATGATGTGATAACACAGGTGTTACTATTTTTACATTATAGTTACTTTTTTAATGGATGGTGCTATGGAAATGGGCTGCCAGAGAAATATAGCTCTGTAATTTGTTCTTATATAGGCTTTATTGGAATCTAATAAGGCACTTGGGAGTCTCTGTCTTGGAATTTTGATGGTCAGGAACAAGCCAAGTCTTGACATCTTGTTTTCTGCATCTCTTACTTCTTGCAGAAAAAAAAATTGTTACATGCCGTATTTCCCATAAGAAGTTGGCCACAGAGAAGAACTGCATTACAAACATTCAGATCATAAAGAGCAAATGGATGGAAATTTACTTTTACATGTTGATGAGTAACAGTTCCCAGTGATTTCAAACACAAGTGTTATGAAGATGCTGGAAGCAGACATTCATCAAACAAAGGTCTACTGTTTTCCACCGTTATAAAGCTGTCAATATTGGCTCTAAAGTCAAGTCAAAGGTTGAATTCACACTTTTAGAGGTTTTTTTAAACTGTGGTTTGTTTTCTAATCCACAATTAACAGACTTGATATATTGTCCTAAGTCATGGGTGTCAAACTTGATTGCATCACATTTTTTGCCTTTACGGAGCTGGGGTGGGCATGGCCCGCACGTGACGCATCTGGCCTGCAGGCCACCAGTTTGACACCCCTGTCCTAAATCATAGTTTACAATGCCAGAAACAAATTAATTACATTACACTTTATTATGATGCTTGAATCCAGTCCAAAGTTCCCGGATGTCCAGCAGCTGCCTACATTGACCAATAAATCAGTTTGCTTATTTATCACCCTTGTTTTATCTCATCTTGCTGGTTAATCAGCAGGTGACCTCCTGCTAGCTTTGAAGCAGCCACACTGACAAACCTTTGCTAACTTTATAAAGATATGCTGGATCTACTTATGGCGCTAAGTAATCCAAAATCAGTAGTTTGATTGTTTTTGATAGAGAGCACAACACAGCCATTTTCATTTTTTAAATAATATTTTATGGCTTAGGGTACGAATATATGAATTCAAAAAATGGCAGTAAAAAACAATTATGGCTCTGCTTTATATGAGAATGGTTAGCATCCAGTACAAGCTCCAATGATATCATTTGAAACATGATGTCATCACTTGATTTGCATTGTGGGCATTTCCCCCCCTACACACACACACACAGATGCTCATGATGCCCAAGCTACTGAGTAAGGAATTTCAATACCAACCTGGAATTCCCAATCTTTTGGCAAATCCTAATCCTTACCTCATTTCAATCTGGGGACAGAACCGGTACATGTAGATATGCCCATAGAGTCTCAATTCTTTAGCAAATTCTGGTGCCAGGATTCCATGCAAGTTAGGTGGGAAATAACGCAGAGAATTTTTTAAAGCCAACTGCCAAAACAAGGGAGAAAAAAGCAAACATAGCTAAGTTTAAAACTGACTAAGTGGGTGGCTATCACAATTAATTAAGCACATGCATTTTGTTAGGCTGAGTGGGAAACATGCCCAGCTCTTATGAAAGGATTCAAGGAGATTGATCCTGAATAAAAATGAGGGTCTATCCACTAAGGTAGTAGCACGTTTTCAATGGAATCTTTTCATTCAGTCCTTTGTATGAATAAGATAATGTCCTGTGCCCATTTTCCAGAGAAGAAATGAAAGAACATTAATGTAGGCCTTTACATTAAGCACAAAACAAAGCAGAAAGCTCTGCTGGCTCTTTGGCAGCAGAGATGAGCGATGCCAAATCTGCTTTTTCATCACCATCCTAAAATGACAAAATATACACAGTGCATGTAAAATTAACTAGTAAATTAAGATTGTTCTTTCCCTGTGCAAAGAAACTGTGAACTCCTGTACTCAATATGCAATGTGCTAGGATTACCAGATATCCAGATGTTCCCCTATTACCTCTTGGGTTATTTCCCCACTAGTGATTTATAGCATCTTCTACACTATTTTAACCACTGGTGTCCCTACATAACAGATAAGGACAGACTTAATGCCACTTTAGCAAGGGTTTGCTGCAAATCACTAGTGAGGAAATGGCTGTGGACGATTGCTGAAAAGGAGATGATGAAGTGAAGCCAGGAGAGAAAATTCAAATGAACCGTTTCTCCTGCTAGTCTGCATGGGTCGACTGCTGCAGCAGGTTTCGTGTTTTCAGTTTTCCATGTTACACAATCCCAGCAAATGATGGTTTAATCAATATGGTGAAACAAACCATCTTATGGTATGGACCCATTTTAAGTATAAAAAAAACACACAGAGATTTGCAATTTTCCCAAAATCTTCACACGCTGCCCACACATCCAGGAAGAATCCCTCTCTTACAAAGAAAAGTGGCATACATTCAGGAAGTTTTGTGCCATGCTCTGTAAGTGCCACTCCTCTCGGAGGAAGTAAGATCTCTGCTGACTTTGATGTACTCCAAAATGTATACCAAAAATTATGATTTAAAACAAACAAAAACGCTGACGTCTGAAAGGCATGCCTTCGTAATTTATTCCATTACTTTTTGTTTATTTTTTAAAATGTTTTAATTTTTTTAAATCCCTTTATTATGCTACAATGTTCACACAGAGTTTGAAATTCATGGGCAGAAACTAAATCAATAGAGAAGAACGGGGGTAGGGGTAGGGGGAAGGAAAGCAGGAAAAGCCACTACCACTTTAAGAAAGTTTACAGTAGGTTTTTTTTTTCAATGATATAACTGCCTGGGGTATTAGAATAAATTGCTTATCTTCAGGGAACCAAATTCAGGAGTGTCACAAATACTCTGAAGCTCGATCTGTTCGCACAATGCATCTCTCTACATGGTTTCTGCTTGTGAACATGTGAATAAGTATGCATGAGGAAGTGCAAGGTAGGCTACATAAGTTCCTCTCTGATGTGTCCAGCAGGAAGGAAGGAAGGAAGGAAGGAAGGAAGGAAGGAAGGAAGGAAGGAAGGAAGGAAGGAAGGAAGGAAGGAAGGAACTTAAAATGAGTTGGTCAGTAGCATTCAAAGCTTCAGACCAAGGATGCATTGGGGAGATCTTTCTCTGGAATGCTAAGGGGAAGGCTGAACAAACTGGTCTGAGTAGCACAGGATATGTATACCATGGGGTTGAAAATGCATTGTCCTATAGAAACTATTCCATGAGACCTGCAGCACAACTAAAGTTATTGAACTATGTGAATATGCTCAGGGATTATTATTTTTTTAAAGCCAGCCTGGTTATTAGGTGATCGAGGGATTGAGACTGAGACTGCATGCATTCCTATTTAATTCAGGAGTTACTGTTGTAAAAAGTTACTGTGATCTCTGGAGGCAGACAGAGGGGATCTAATTTCAAGTCCAGGCTCATTGAATGATTTGTTTTTTCAACCCAATATACCTCACAAGGGTGTTACTGTGATCATCAAATGAGAGACACTCCCTAGTAAGCCACCTTTAGCTCCTGGAGAATAAATCTAACAAATAAATAAATAATATACCAAATAGAGAGGATGATTTCCAACCAAAGAGATAGGATGACTTCCAACATCAAAAGTCAGGATATCAAAATAAATGAATGCAAAGATATATACGGTACATCAAATACTAAGCCAATGCTCAGAGATCAGAGACATTTATTTATTTGTCAAATGTAGATACCGCTTATCTCACAAGATCAATACAGAAGAATATTTTAACAAGCTGGCCACAATTTAAAAAAAACATTGCTTGGATTTTTGTTTAAATTGAACAAAATAAAAATACAGTTAAGTGCAAGGAAACAGGAACTTTATTGTCGCAGCAAGAGCCTTCTCAGTGCAAATGTGAGAAAATAAATATATTTACGTGCCTGTGAGAGAGACATGAACAGGCACACATAGAATGTACGGTGTGTGACCACTGCAATCTCAGCCAGGTGGGCTACCCAACTTGGATTTTTCAAATGTGTTGGCACTGCAGCTCCCAGTTTTCTAGGACTTAGTCCTCATACCTCAGGAGGGCATCCAGCTCAGAATAGCTGACCTTACCAAAAATTTGTTGTCACTTAAAAGGCAAAAGAACAGGTTTCAAAACAGTAGCAATTGTCTACATCCATAAGACTGGAACCTCACATTTTTGCCAGAAGAGTTTATTTACAATGAAGAGCCAATAAAGAGAGAATCTCCTGAAACCAGGCCCTAAGAATAATATGATAAAGCCGCAGTAGACACAATATTATTGTGTCTTAAAAATACAGGAACAAATACAGCTGAGACGAAACTATCTTTATCAGGAGGTGAGCTAGATGCAAAATAGGCTTTCCTTTTTATTAGGAGAGCTGTGTTAGTCTCTGATGGCAAACAGTTTAGAGCAGTGGTGGCGAACCTATGGCACGGGTGCCAGAGGCGGCACTCAGAGCCCTCTCTGTGGGCATGCGCGCCGTCGCCCCAGTCCTAGACCTTCAGCTGGATTTAATAAAACCTTTTCGCTTTAGGCCTCAGCCACCGTGTGCAAAAAAAAAAAAAGGTTCAATCAGTCAATTTCAACTTCTCGCAGGAAAAAAAAAGATCTTGCAAAGTTAGAATTGATTGATTGAACTTTTTAGTCCCACCCAGTCTGCCGTTACCACTGCAGCCACACCAGCCAATGGGCCACACCCACCCAATGGGCCACACCCACCCAGCACTCGACGATGCATAAGTGGGTTTTCTGTTGCAGTTTGGGCACTCAGTCTCTAAAAGGTTCGCCATCACTGGTTTAGAGTCTGGCAGTACCTTTTCCAACTAACAAGTCCTATTAAGACAGCAGCTTTTAAATATACCTTTTAATAAAAGATGGAAAAGGTGCTACCAGACCTCTGACTTTTTGTTAAAAGTGTCCAATTTTTTTTTTTTTAAAGTATTTTCAGTTGCTGAACCACTGCTAGTTGCTGAAAATGGGTAAAATCACATGCATCAGAGTAAAGTCATTCTCTCTTGGCATATTTTATCATTTATATTTATTTATATACTGGATCAACTCAGGAGACAGAGGTCATCTCTAATGTTAGGCCGAGCAATTTCCTCAGATGGCTATGCTAGGAGACATCAGTAATGATGCAACAGACAAAGGTGTGTATCCAGGCCTGTAACATTCCCTCCCCCACTCCACAGATTGATCTCCTGCTTTCATATGCAGGACAGAACAAGGTGACCACAGATGGCGAAGGGGGGGGTGTGAGGATAAAAAAAGTCAAGATAATGCATGTGATCATATAATGGGAGTACCATCCTTCTACTGTCCATGGGAGGAGGAGGAGGAAGAGGTAGTTTCAAATATGCTGCCACAGCTGTTATCAAGACTTTGACACACAAACCCCTGCAGACACTCCCAGTACAGAATGAATCTTATTGCCAATGCTACTCCAAACTCGTCGGTGCTCCATCACTGGTAGTTTTCAAAAATAGACTGGACAACCATTTGACTTGAGATGATACAAGGCTCCTGCCTTGAGCAGGGGGTTGGACTAGAAGACTTCCAATGTCCCTTCCAGCCTTATGATTCTATGCTCATGCAAACAAACATGACCATTTCTGCTAGCTTATTCAGTGAGATACTGAAATGGATATATTTTACACTATAGGCAAAAGCACCTATTCAGCAAAATATTTGGGCTACCTGTTCCCCTGCCTGTAAGAACTCCCACCTCACTTGCCTCTAGCATTTAGCATCTCAGTCTCTCTTTTTGGCTTCTGTTCATTGCTGAAAGGTTGCTTTCTATGTTTTGAGGGTGAAAGGCAAGAAGACAATCCCAAATTGACCTTAAGGAAATGGGCAGTGAAAACAGAGGCAAAGTATAAATCTGCTTAGGCTCCAGAGGAAGCAAAAGAACGTGAAGGGTGCTACTGTCACATATTTCAATCAACAAAGCAGTTTGGAAGCAAGAGAATTCAGGAAATAACTGGGGGGGGGGGGAAATTCTGGCAAATATGTTTTGGTTTATTCAAGGGTATTAGGTTCCTATGGTTATTTACAGTAACCAAAGGACATGAAATATAACCATGGAACAAAAAAATTATTAGTACAAATTCAAACTGAAAAATAGACACAGTATATAGGCCTGATCCTCATGTTATGTTTGTTATCATTGTTCCTTGAATTAAGATAAGTGTGATAAGTCATTATTATATATCATTACTATTTATATAAATACAGTTTCTCCCATTTTAAAATAGCATTATCTATACAGTAGGATCTCACGTTTTACTGAACAGAACCATAAAGAAAGATACACTCAGAAATCTTAAAAGTCCCAGCAACAGGACTTCTGAAAAATTGAAAATTCCTGAACAAGACCATGTTGTTCAGAGTGGGATGAGCAGAGATATGCATTTGAACTCAACAGACCTGAAAGAAAGGCATTAAGGGCAATATATAATAGAACTGTGCAGTGTTTATATTCACAACTGGTAGCTATCAATAATATAGCTGGACAGAGACCACCAGACCTGCTTTAAGAAGCAGATCTAAGTCTATCAGGGGTGATCCACCCAACTCAATTCTAGGGAACATTTTAGGAATACAGAGCTTGTATTCTCTAGGAGAACATAGGCCTAGCTAATGGGGAGATTTTTCACAAAGAATAGGGGTAATGTCCAAAGAGAAAAATTGTACAAACTCTTACTTTTTCTTCACTTGCAATGAGATTTGGGCTTCTCACAGGAGCGTGAGGGATTCCACTCTTTCGGCCTCTGTTTTCTGGAAGAGGACGGAGGGGGAGCCCAGCACAAATTGCTTTCAGAGTAGACATGGCTTGTAGATAGCAGTGGCTGAAGGACAAAACTTAGAAAAGGGTTCTATTGCAGCTAAGGTGATCTTTGACAAAAGCAGGGTTGGCTTTTCCTCAAATTCTCTGGGGGGAAACGCCCTATTTGATACCCCTTGTCATCCTATTGGTCTGTCCTGCTGCCTCCTCCTGAGGAATCATTGACAGGTCTACTGTTTATTCTCCAATCTGGTTCTCCACATCTGGTTGCTCTGTTGCACTGGATGACAGTTGACATGCTCCTGTACTTTGTACACATCACAGACATCGGAAGGTTTTCTATCCAATAAAGGACCCAGCGATTTTGCAGGCTTTGAATTGGAAATTTGGCAAAAACACATCCATCTTACTGTATATAAGCAAATGTTCAAATATTCAGATATTTTTATTTGTGAACATGACATTATTGTGAGCCTCTTCCACTTTTTTCCATGTCTTTTAATTAAATGTTTATGCCTCCCTCTTATAGGCTGAAACTATAAACAGACCCAGTAAATGTGTCATGCAATCTCAGGGCCCCTTAAGTAAAGTTAAAACCTGTTTTAGGCCACCATAAAAGTCCATACTGGCTAGGAAAGAAATGTGCTGAATTTCAGTGCACCTCCTTAAGAAATTGATTTTTAAATGTTGAAATAATTAAGTAGGTCTATCCATAAAAGTAATTCTTCATACCATTATTGGTGAGGATATCCAAACTCTCATGGATGACTCTCTCCTGGAGAAGACACAACTAACACATTCAAGTGATTTTAAATGGCTGATAAAAAAACATATTGTAGAGGTCCAGTTGTGGACTTCTCTGTGAGCTGATGTGATAACAGCAGTCAGACTGGATGCTTCAAAAGGATATTGGACAACCTCCTGGAGGAGGATCTGGATGTCTAAGGCTACTAAAATAATTGTGAGAGGGGTCAAGGAAACCTATGAACAACCACTTAAGTATGAGCCAGCAATGTGCTGCACCTGCCAAAAAGGCCAATGCAGTCCTAGGCCGCACCAACAAAGGGATAGTATCAAGATCACAAGAAAGTGTTTGTACTGCTTTATGCTGCTTTGGTAAGACTTTGAATACTGCATATAGTTTTAGTCACCATGATATAAAATGGTGTTGAGACCAAATAAGTGCAACAACGATGATTAGGGAGATGGAGGCTAAAACATAGGATGAACAGTTAGTTACAGGAACTGGGTACATCTAGTCTGACAAAGAGAAGAACTAAGAGTGACATGATAGCAGTCTTTCAATATTAGAGGGGCTGTCATAGAGAAGAGGAGGTCAACTTATTCTCCAAAGCACCTGAGAGTAGGACAAGAAATAAGGGATGGAAACTTATCAAGGAGAATTGATAAGGAGAATTTCCAGGCAGGTGATTTTTAAAAAGAGATTGGACAGCCAGAATGGTATAGGGTCTCCTGCTTGGGAAGGGGGTTAGACTAAAATATCTCCAAGGTCCCATCCAACTCTGCTATTCTGTTAAAATTGATGGCAATTTTACTACAGTATCCTTGAATCATAGGCAGAATACCTTGAGTCCTAGTTATATTAGGAAATATAACCACATGTAAATTATTGGTCTCCTGTGAACTACCTAAATGCATTCAGCTCATGGTGGGTAGAGTATGAAATTAAAATGGCAAAATCCCAAATTAGAAGGGCCTCTTTACAGATTCAGGCCATGTGAGGCTTGCAAAACTCAAAATGAAGTTCAAAAGTAAACTTAAAACCAGTGAAGGTGTGGAAGAAAATTGGTGTTTAACTTTCAAAAGATCTTTCCATGATCAGTACTGACATCTACATTCTGTCGTAGTTGCACTTTTGAATGTATAGAATAAAAACCTTTGGCCTTTACCAAATTTCAATTATTATTTATAACATTGTAAAACTGTACTGAATGCTTTTCAAGTAGAAAAGCAAAGGAAAAATTATTTTTAAAAAATGTAATAGGCGATCTCAATCCCTTAAGGATGTTGATTAAAGGGAAACCAAGGGAGACCAACTGGAAATAAAATGCCCCCCCCCCCCCAACCTGGTAGAATCAACCTTAACAGGAAGTGAGTTATAATTGAGTCAGAGAAACAAAAGAAAAACAGAACACTGGAATTTTTCACCTTGTATCTTGCAGGGCCTAAGCCTCTGTTTTCCTTTATTCTGTACTGATACTCATCTTGATCCAGGCGCAAAAAGACTCGGAAATCTATCGTTTTCTCTACTTGGAACTTTCCCTTTAATCGGTGCCATCCTTAAGTGGCCGAAGCCCCTACACCGAACGGGAGAGGTCCATAATTCTAGCAAGGCCACGAAGAGCCTCTCTATCCCAGGGGTAGGCAATCTTGGCTCTTTTATGACTCGTGGACTTCAACTCCCAGAATTCCTGAGCCAGCCATGCTGGCTCAGGAATTCTGGGAGTTGAAGTCCACGAGTCATAAAAGAGCCAAGGTTGCCTACCCCTGCTCTATCCCATCTCGACCTCCCTCGGGTCGCGATTGGGAGTGATGGGGCGTGTAGTCCGAGAGAGGGCGCCGCAGAGACAGGCGAGAAAAAGCATCCCCGCCAAACTTCAGCGGCGGGCAAGAGGCAGGGACCCGGGCAGCTAGAACATGGGCGCGGTGCCGTCCAGCCTCCCTCTCCCTCTCTCGGTGGGCGAAATCAGCTCCAACCAGAGGGGTAGATTCTGGGGGCGGCGCGGGGGGGGTATCCTTGCCCGACTCTCATTAGAAATAACCGAGTTTAAACACACCGCCCATAAGCGACGGGAAGGAGGTTCGAGGAGGGCTCCCCTTTCCGTCGCCGTTGCATTTGGGTAGGCTCGTTCTTCCTCCTCCTCCTCCTCGGCCCCTTTCCCGGGTCTGATGAAAGCCTTCAAGAGTGCAGTGAGTGTGTCCACACACACCCCACCTCCAACACACAATGCCCATCACTAAAGAGCCCGCGACTATTGCCCGAGGCACATACATGATTAGCCCTGGTTGTGGCGGGACAGGACGAGGAAGGGGATCTAAACTACATGCTTGGTCGAATCGGGTCCCACCCGAGGGACGGAGAGGTGAAGGGAGCGTGAGATGCTATCGCGGACTTCTGCTCCGTCTATGAAGTAGAAAGGGAGTGGGATCACAGAATAAGAGAGCCGGTAGGGACCTTGGAGGTCATCTAGTCCAACCCCCTGCTCAAGCAGGAGACCCTTATAGAATCATAGAATAACAGAATCGGGAGGGACCTTGGAGGTCATCTAGTCCAACCCCCTGCTCAAGCAGGAGACCCTTATAGAATCATAGAATAACAGAATCGGAAGGGACCTTGGAGGTCATCTAGTCCAACCCCCTGCTCAAGCAGGAGACCCTTATAGAATCATAGAATAACAGAATCGGGAGGGACCTTGGAGGTCATCTAGTCCAACCCCCTGCTCAAGCAGGAGACCCTTATAGAATCATAGAATAACAGAATCGGAAGGGACCTTGGAGGTCATCTAGTCCAACCCCCTGCTCAGTGCCTCGTACTCTTCAATCCCTCTTCTACTGGTGGGGGTGGCAGCCGGCTACCTGTCCACTATTTCCTTGGAGGGAAGAGGCGACGAACGGTGGCGACGAGGATGCCCCGGTCGTCGTCCGATTTTGCTAGAGACAAGCGCCCGACCGCGCACGTCGGACAGTCCGGCAAACTACCGTCCTTGAGGTTTCCGCCTCGTTTCCCCCCACCCTCTCCCCGGTCTGCTGCCTCGGAGCGAAGGAGCGAAAAGGAGAGCCGAAGGCAGCTTTGCCCCGGAATGGACACTCGCTAGGAGATCCGTGGTAGGTCGATCCGTGGAGGGGAGGGGGGAGACGAAAGAACCTAGCCCAGGAGAAGAGATCCCGGGGTGGAATCGGAAGCTCCGGACCCGGAGACCGAATGACGGCGCCGCGCGACTTTCGCCGATTCTCCGGAGGGGCGAGCCGGGGGAGGGAGGGGGTTCTCTCCCTCAGGGGTTCTCAACCTTGGCAACTTTAAGACTTGTGGACTTCAACTCCCAGAATTCCTCAGCCAGCTTTGCTGGCTGAGGAATTCTGGGAGTTGAAGTCCACAAGTCTTAAAGTTGCCAAGGTTGAGAACCCCTGCAGTCTAAGCCGCCAGCGGAGATTGAGCTACTTGGTGGCGATGGACGGTCGGGACTGACGCGCAGCGAGAGAGAGCGCGGCGGCTTGGGAAAGGCGACCCCTTGGGAAAGGAAGGGGGAGGGAGCTTAAAAGAGAAATGACAGGGCGAAAACCCGGCAGTCCCAGAACCATCCCAATAAATTACGAGGGGTTGGAGTTGTGTTTTCTTTTTTCTGCAAGAGGTTGAGTCTGCACCAGACATGTAAAATAGCCTTAATTACTGTTTTTCGACCTCACGTCGGTGGCGAAGATGGATTTCCTAGACGGGGTCACGCAACATAAAAGCTTAACGCTGATCGTATTCCTGGAGTATGTTATTTTTGCCCAGCTTGGAGCAGGTAAGCAGAAATAAGCAGTAAAGGCGTTTCAGCTGCAAATGCTTCAGACGAAGCTTTAAAAGCTTTTCATATTCAGTTTGAGTTTAGTAGATCGGTAAAAGTCTCCATTCACCCTCATTTAGATCTATACATTTACAAACTGTTGAAATTTATTTATTATAATAGCTCTTGTCCTTGTTTTAAAACCAGAAAAGTGAGCCATAAATTTTCCAAGTTCTTACAATTTATTGTCAAGTGTCAGGGGAAAGAATGTTTAGTTTTGCCTAATTTTCAAGAGGGGGGGGGGGAGAGATAAAATGTATGATGTCAATGCCAGTTTGGATGTTAAGGTTTCATATTCTGCAAATGAGCTACTTTATTTCATGTACTGAATATGAATGTAATTTTGGGGTGGTTATGTGTATGCAGTTGTACGCTCAACATTTCTGCACAACACCTGACACAAAGTTCAAGTGGAATAAGGCATGAGAGGTACATAGAAGAATGGGGATGGGTATATCAAAACTGAATCAAGTTGCTCATTTATGTAAAAGTGCCCCCTTGGTTTTTCAACAAAAATATCTTTAGAAAGACTTTTAGAAGAACAGATTTATATTCTAAACTATTCTCCCGGCATAAGGATTAGAGATGTGTTTCTAACAGCCAGTTTGAGGCAAAGCCATCTATGTACAGACAGCCCCCTAGTGTCACTGAAGCAAAAGGCTTCATTTCTTGAGACAGAAGTTCCCCTTAGAAGACACTGATTTAGAAAACACATCAGGCTTAAAAAGTCATTGTTAAGCCATGGATTACTTAACAATGATTTATTAAGTTAATCATCATTGCCTATATTTGTACAACATGCCAAGCCACAAATTATGGTTTACAAGGCATAATAGCAGGATTCACACATTGCACCAAGCGAAAACCAAACAAGTGACACTGTGCTTTAGCAACTGACTGGCAAAGTCTTTTCCAGGTTTTGCATAGGAATCTTTCCCAGGTGTACTTACAACATTGGGGCTGAATTGGAGGCTGTCTGCGTGGAAAACATGTGCTTTTCTACCAAATCTTTCCCTTACTACGGGCTTAAGGAATCTGTCACATAAAGAGCCCATTCCACTTCTCTGCTGGCTGGAAGCAGTTTTGATAACAACCTTTTCCAAATTGGCCAGTAATGCTATCCATTGAAAATGAGTGGGTAGGAATCAAAGATAGGTCATCTCCATAGAGACAGGACCTTTTCCCCTTCAATCTGCACATGAGTGTATTTTCATTGGGCTGAGTGTTGCCTTCAGCCATTCCCAATGATGTAACATATAATCCAGTGACATGTTCCTCTTAGAACA